TCAGCCTTGTGTGTAGCCATTCCCTCGGGGATCCCCAGCTGCGACCCGGCTGGATAAAGTTCACCTACCCCCTTCTATGTTGTAACCCAAATATGTCACTCGGGTAGTGCATAGCTGAGCCTTTTTGGCTGAGACCCGATACCCCAAATAACCTAGAGTGATCAGCAACTCTCGAGTGGCCTGTCTACAGTCCTATTCCTCCTCCATGGCCAGTAGGAGGTCGTCTACATATTGGAGCAGAGTCACCCGTGGATGGTCCTGACGAAACTCCCGGAGGTGTTGCTTTAGGGCAGGGGTGGGAAAACTTTTTTACTCGAGGGCCACAATGGGTTCTTAAACTGGACCGGAGGGCCGGAACAAAAGCATGGATGGAGTGTTTGTGTGAACTAATACATGTTAACACTGCTGCTGGTGAAGGAGCAGAGGGGAGAGCAAGAGAACCCTCCGCTCTTTCGGCTCCGCGGGCTGGATAGAACAGCCGATCGGGCCGGATCCGGCCCGCGGGCCGTAGTTTGCTCAGAGCTGGTTTAGGGCCTCATCGAACAGAGTGGGTGAGTTCTTAAACCCTTGTGGTAACCTAGTCCAAGTTAACTGTCCAGACTCTCCCTCTGTCGGGTCCACCCACTCAAAGGCAAAGATAGGTTGACTCTGCTTTGCCAAGGGAAGGGAGAAAAAGGCATCCTTTAGGTCTAAAACAGTATAGAACCGGTGTTCTGGTTTGAGGAGGCTGAGAAGAGTGTAAGGGTTTGGAACCGTAGGATGGATAGTCTTAACCCTCTTGTTTACTTCCCTTAAGTCCTGTACCGGCCTGAAATCCTCAGTCCTTGGTTTCTGTACTAGAACCAGGGGAGTTTTCCAAGCAGATTGGCAAAGAATCAAGATTCCAGTCTCTTAATGTGCTTGGTGATTCCCACTCTTGCCTTCTGGCTCATTGGATATTGCCAGACTCTGACTGGGGTGGCACTGTTGGTCAGCTGGACTACAATGGGAGGCCGGTGTTTAGCTAGCCCTGGCGGATTGTCCTCCGCCCAAACTCCCGGGATAGCCTGTCTTAATTGTTGGAGATAGGCATCTGCTGAGACTTCCCCAGGCTCTTCCTCATGTAGTAAATATTCCTACTG